TGTGTGTGTGTGTGTGTGTGTGAGAGAGAGAGAGAGAGAGAGAGAGAGACTGAAAACTATGAAAAGAACAGGCAAGGCTTGAATTTAGGCGGGGGAAAAGGGTGGCTTCATCAAATACAGTGGTGCCCCGCATAGCGACGTTAATCCATTCCAGGATTAACGTCGCTATCCGGAAACATTGCTAAACGGAACAAATAACCCCATAGGAACGCATTAAACCCTGTTTAATGCGTTCCTATGGGGCAAAAACTCAACGTTCAGCGAAGATCCTCCATAGGGGCGGCCATTTTCGGTGCCTCTTAAGGGAGGAATCCCTCCAGAAAACAGGGGGCAGCCATTTTGAAACCGCCTATCAGCTGTTAAAAAAGCATTGCTTTGCCATGATCAGGGAACAGGTAACAGATCATGGCAAAGCACTGCCAACCAGCCAGCCAGCCAGCCTGGGAGACACCGGGCATCCTTGGGCGCGGGGCGAGCGAGGGCTTGGAGGCAGTCGCCGGGGGTGGGAAGGGGCGGGCCATCCACCCGGCACTCGCTCACCAGCCAGCTAGCCAGCCTGAGAGACACCGGGCGTCCTTGGGCGGAGGGCGAGTGAGGGCTTGGAGGCAGCCACCCGAGACGGGAAGGCTCTCTCCGAACCACCCCTCACCCCCGTGTCCACCGCCGCCGCCGGTCAGCTGGGGGAAGGTACGGGGAAGGGATGGCTCCCCCCATCCTCCTGAAGCCGAAGCCGGCGTTTTCGACGAGCTCCGGAGGATGGGGAGGGGAAGCCCTTCCCCCCCATCCTCCCGAATCCGAAGCCTGCATTTTCACACCACTCCGGAGTGAGGGGAGGGGAATCCCTTCCCCCCCATCCTCCCAAAGCTGGCCCGAAGCCCCGCCTATCAGCTGTGCGAAAATGGGGTGTACGGGAAAAATCACAAAGCGATTTTTCCCCAATGAAAACATCGTTATACGATCGCTTTTGCAATCACAAAATCTTAATCGGTATGCGGATTAGTCGTTAAACGGGGCACCCGTTAAGCGAGGCACCACTGTACTATATCATTTCCTTCCTTTCAAATCGAGGGGCTAATGTTGGCTTATATAATTTTTTTGGAGGGGTAAAAGGTAAAAAAGTTCCCTGACCCCTGCACTAAGGGGCAGAATGAAGAAAGGGAAAAGAAGGATGATAGCTAGAGAGGGGGGTATTCGGATATGAATACACCTGCACAGGTGCAGATAATGAGGGTCGAGCCTCCTGGAGCCAGACTGAGCACTCACGATTCTGCCACTACTGCGAATGCTGTGGTCCCTTCATATCTCTCTGTTGCTCATGATGGATTAGCCACTCTGTGACCTGGCAGAGAGGCTCACAATCCCGCCTTCTGCCAGCAGTGGCTAAGCCATCATGAGCAATGAAGCGATAGGAATGGACTGTGGCATTCGTGGCAGCGGAGGAATTGTGAGTGGCCGGACTGGCTCCGGGGGGCTGGACCCTCATTATCTGCACCTGTGTATATGAATACCCCTAATGCTATTGATAGCCCTCTGCTCCTTTGTGCTGGGGGTGGAAAACAACCACATGGTTGACCTTTTCAGTGCCTGCTCCATGTTAGTCATGTTTCTTCCATCCTATGGAATGTTGTGGTTGCCAAAAGCAGCTTCTTACGGAAGCATTTGTCAATATATTAAAGTTTCTTATTTGTATAAAAAACTTGATGTGGCATAAAGCATTATGATGCAGGTAGTTAGGATTCCGTAGTAAAGGCATCTCCAGCATTATAAGATACTGTGAGAAGCCAGCTAAGCCAAGACTAGCCCCAAAACAGAAATGGGGAGCAGATGGCCCAATCTGTGTTGCAGGACCAGCAGCTCTCATAATCTCCTGCTATTTATGCTAGCTAGGGCGGATAACAATTGAAGGGCAACAACATTTGGAGCGTTAAACTTCCCTCAACCCTGCCATTAACACTCATCTCCCTCCTTCAATCCAGAATATCACCCTCAGACACAATCAGCACTAGAGACAGCAATAACTCAAGGAAACTTGAGCAAATGAGTCAAAACATGAACTCCACAGGGAGGCAAGTCTCATCTCAAGCATCATTAACCAGGCTTGGCCCTCTATAGCTCAAACCTATCTAATGAAGTTGCACCCAGGGATTTACTTTTGATGAACTTACAAAGTTATATCTACTCAATTCTTTACACAAGATTTACGAGTCTAAATATACTTGGTTACCTCAGGCCTGTTCTGTGAGAAGATTCCAATGAACTGGTCAGGAGATGGTTTGAAACCTCTGTTGAGAAGTTCTGAACCAATACATTCTGCTCTTTCTGCAACCTGCAGTGAGGTATGTGGAAATATAAAAGTTACTAATTCTGTGCCAGTGTGTACTAAGCATTTAAGATCTCAAAATTTCCATTTCACCCAATTCAATCTCTTCACTAACATTCAGCCATTTAACATATTTCACTCAGATGAAGGTGTGGACAGCACTTAAAACAAGCCACATGCTAACAGGTTTGAACAAAATAATGCATAAACAACTGAAAATAGATTAATACTGTACTACATAGTACTAATATCAATTGAATCCTTGTCAGAGCCGATAACTGTGATGGGCATTCAGTTGTATTTAATATGAACTTTGTAACTTACTTCAGTTTTAAATTGCTTCAGTAAGACTGTGGCTAGTTGATAACTTGTTCATCTCTAGATACAACCACCCCCTGAAAATCCTGCCCCCTTCTACAGGAGCATCTCATGCCACCTGGGATCACGAGGTGACCCCCTGGGTGGATTTTTCCATTCTTGTGGTGGGGAAAAGAGATGAAAGGAAAATTTCCTTCTGCTTTGAATGCTAGTCAATATTCTTTGTATAAGACATAGACAGGTTATAAACTAAGTGAGTGTACAGCACAAAAAGTCTGAATGCCAGGCAAATGTACCATAACCTCCAATTTAAACCCAAAGAAAACAATCTACTTTAAACTAAGTATTCAGGAACTGAATATATCAAAAACCCCTAATACAACATTTTTACATCTTACAAAATGGCTGCAGTCCTATACCTACTTACAAAGAAACAGGTCCATCTAAACTGAATGAAACTTCCTTCTGAGTAAACACTATAGTATTATGCCATTAAATCACATAGGCAATTAATTAACAACACAGCAGCCATGAACAGAATTATGCCAAATTACCTCTTTGTAAGAGATCCACTCATATGGCTGATTTGGTTTCCTTACACCCAAGCAAGGACCATTGTCTACAAAGAAATAAAAGTTTAAAGGTCTGAATAATTTCAGCAAAACTCATACATAGAAGATATTCAGTGTTACCCCAGTATCAAGTGGCTCATTTAAGAGTTTTTACACTGAAGTTGAAAACTAGGGTACTCTTTCTTCCAAGTGCCCAGGAGCTGCAATTCCCCCCTTTCCTGAATACTCACTTGACAGATGCATTCCCCTTTGGAAGACATCATAAACTGTTCTCACATCATCATAGTAGTACATTATTGGCTCGTTGCTCTCAAGCAATGACGACCTACGTGCAAACTCTTCACCCTGTATAAAGAAAGATACAAGTTACACTCTTGTTTCGTGGAAGCCTTCTGTGCTTTTTCCTTTGTATTGTGATAGTAATAGCCAAATGGTCAGACTGCTGAAACAATTCATCATACAGTATTAGGAAGCAGGCCAAGGAAGGAAATATTGGACAGCTAACAGCTAGCAAGTCAGTTTCTATCTCATATCATTCTTAAATATGATGCTGAGCAATATCAATTATTGTTACTTTTAAGTTCCTGCTGTAAGAGCAACCATAAGGGCAAAGAGCCCAAACAGATAGAATGCTTTGATCTCAGAGGCTCCATCCCATTAAAAGCCATGCCAGCCTTTTGCACATAGGAAAGATGTAATGGCAAAGTCCATTTTTGGCTATTTTCCTCCTCTTTCTCAGGGCTTCTATTTTTTTCTTCAGACGGGAACATGTAGTTGGGTTTTTTGATCAGGAGCTATGGATTCTTTTCCTCCCTATCAACTGTTTTACCTCCACCATTCTTTCTATTCTCTTGGATAATCTAGTAGATTTCCCATTGAAAATAAGTCACTGTAGAAAACCACAAAGTTGCTAAGTATGGCTTGAAGGAGAATCCAAGATTGGATCTTCCTAATGATGCTGAAATGCTGTCAATGATCTCAGTGGATGAGTCATTGTTCCTTCATCCAATAGCTCTGGAAATGTACTTCTGAGTTCACAGGTTTGTAGCTCAGCTTGCTGTTGTTCAATGTATTTTTGAGCACCAATTCCTTAAATGCACTGAAGAGTACTTTGGATGTACACATATACTAACTACAGAACTGGTAGTACCATTCCCATTAACTTGTTTGAGTAAGAGAAACAAACTGAACCTACAGTTGTGCAGTAGCCTTTGAACACAGGGATTCACTAGTTAATGCAAATCATGAATTTCTCATAAGTACATTAGGATCCAGAAGTCTCTGGATAGTTTAGTGATTTATGTATCTGGCTGCAAAGCCAGAGGTTGGGAGTTTCATTCCCCACTGTCTTCTGCATTTTGAGCCAACCCATGTGGTGTTGGGTAGCCTGTATAGTCCCAGGATGCCCCCAGAAGAAGGGAATGGTAAGTCACTTCTGAGTACCTAGAAAACCTCAAAAAAGGTCTCCATAAATCAAAACTTACTTGATGGCACATGATAATTATTATTACTAGAAACCAGATGGAAATTGGTAAAACAAGCAGGAAAAAAACAGCTCTAATATTTTGTTTTTAAAGTTTTGTAAGAAACTGCTTTCTAAATAAATTATATATTTTGTCCATCTAGCCCAGTAGTTCTGAATCTTAGGTCCCCAGATGTTCTTGGACTACAACTCCAAGAAATTCAGGCCAGCACAGCTAATGATGATAGCTTCCAAAATTTTTAGTGCAGGAACATCTGGGAACCCAATGCTGGAAACCACTGATCTAGCCCAATACCATGAACATGAATGAGCAGCATTGTTCAAGGTTTCAAGGCAGGGTTTTTCCAGTCCTGTCAGGAGATGCCAAAGAATGAACTAGGGACTTCTGACATGCAAAGCAGAGAGTCTAACACTGAGTTATCTGCTTCAGTTGCTTTGGTCCAAATTATTTTTTTAAACGGTCATGGTTAAAAGTAAAGTACTGCATCTTATTTTGTAACATGGAATGTGGACTAGAGATGGGCATGAACCTTGGTTCAGAGGTTTGTGCCAATCTGTAAGTGTGGCACCACAGATGCCACAGTTCCCTTCCCCCTCTTTCCCAGCCAATGCTCCACTGACCAGCCAGAGCATGATCCTCTCCTTCCCAGTTCAGCCAGTCCCCAGCAGAAGCACAGACTTGCCTGTACCTCCTCCTTGTCCGGGAGGCTGGACAGGGAAGCCCATGCTCCTGCCAGGGACTGGACGAACAGCTGAAAAGGAGGAGGAGAGGACCGTGTGCTGGCTGGGGAGTGGAGAATGCAGCTGGAAAGGTAAGGAAGGTGCTTACGAACTGGGGACCCATATGGGTGAGTGGTTTTGCATTTTAACCCTTCTATAGGCTGGATACACTACTTGATACAGTTCAGTCCTCAAGCAAAAGCACTAGCTGGTGCTTTAGCCGGGGATGCCATCTCACTCCTCCCCCTTTCTTCTTCACCAAAAATCTCAGTGATCTCCTTCAAATACCAGCTGAAACTTTCATGAAATACTCGTTGTTCTGTCTAGGATGGAGAATGGAGCGGTAACCCAACTCTTACAGTTCTCTTCAGTTTTAGATAACAGTGAAGATTTCCCTTCTTGCTAGGCCAGGGATAAGCTTGCAGTTTCCTCAAGTTGGATTCACGTCCTCAACAGGCTGGAGAAGGCTCAGAAGCCCCTCAACCCTGTTTTAGAATTTACAAACAACTTTATGTGCACTACCATCCAATAAGGGTTTCGTGACCAAGCCTACTAACCATGCAAACCATAAAAAGGAGTGGAGTCTCCATTCTGGCACAGCTTGGAAAAGTTGTTCTTCTGGATGACAACTTCCAGAATTCTAGCAAACTTGGCCCTGGCTGGGGGATTCTTGAGGGCTGTCATGCCAAAAAAGCAACTTTTCTGAAGTGTTCTCTGATGGTATAATCCTGACAGCATTTTTTCAAACTTCATTTCAGCTACTGAGGAAAATGGTGTAAGGAGATTCTTACAGAGAATGTTTTTGCACATTTGTCTTTGTCCTTAAGATTTGCTCTTATATTGTCCACTATGAAAGACTGGAATGCTTCTCCAAAGGTTTAGTTAATGCATGTGACAGTTTTAGTTCTTTGGACTGAAACGATTCCCTCACCCTTCACTTCAAGAATATCCAACGTAGATCTGGCTCCCTAAAAGCAAGTCTAATCCTAATCATACAAGAGTGCTTTATTTGCAACTTTAACTAGAAGTATCAGGCCCCCTATTTTATTTTCAGTTAAAGCATGATTGAGAATGAAGATTAACTTTATTCTGACTGCACTTTAAACAGAATGTCACAAACATCCACACAAACTTCAAGAAAGCTGGAGACTCATTACTCACAGAAGATTGCGTTTGGTACAAAGAGCAATGCCACAGCTCAGATAACAATTTAGTGATTTAACACTTCACCTTTAATATTCTCAGTGCCCTGTCCTTTATACACAAATGTTCACCACTTTGTAAGTGGCAGATTAGTAACATTTCACCTAGTACAAATTGGGGAGGAGGATCAGCATTGATGGTCTGCCCATGACTTGTCAGCAAATTCATGGCAGACAACAGATTTGAACAGAGGATTTCCCAACTCAGGCTCTTGAAGACTATATGAACTCTCATTTTCGTACCTTATGAAAGTTACATTACAGCATAATTATCTCGGTGTCCAGCTTAATGGCAATACATGTGAAGACAGCAGAGAAAGGG